AGTCAGTGCTCTTAACCTCTGAGCCATCTCTCCAGCCCCCAGGACTTAGATTCTTATCAAGACACATGTGCAGTTATTCCAGTGTCTGGGGCTTCCCAACTCTTCATTATATATGGCTGCCTGCCCATTTTCTTCTTGCTTTCAAAAAAGCTGGTTTTAATAGCCTTTTATTTCAAGAGAGCAGAAGGACATCTTTTTAAAATTTTACTACCATCAAACCTCCCATAAAAATGTTTTGCTTTCTAGAAATAGAAACCATCTATTATGACCTCAATTGATAAGATTATAAGTCAGAAGAGCTCCGAGGCCCCACAACTTGAGAATGTATCCAGTATTCCCATGTGTTATGCCAGTGAGATTCAGGCAAAGAGATGTTCTGATGCTACCATAGCCAGGACTCTCAAGTGATGGCAAAGGAAGGTGCTTATTTAACTTGGGTCTGACCAGTAATGAGGGAAGAAGGCAGATGGAAATGGATGGATGAATGGATGGATGGATGGGTGGATGGGTGGATGGGTGGGTGGGTAGGTAGGAAGGTGGGTAGGTGAGTAGGTGGGTGTTTGGGTGAAGATAAGATTCTTACTGTTTAGGCTACCTGTGGTCTAGCTAGAAGCAGAATCTTCTTGTTAACTTAAAGTCACCAGTGGCCAGTGTAGAGTGACTGATGTCCAGCTTCCCACAGGACACTCCTGCAGCAGATTTTGAAAGAAAGCATAAAAATAGATCACTTGGAAGAAAGCCAGTGACCCCTTCTCACCCTCGTTCTGGTACAGGAAGTGGAGGAAGTGGAAGCAGAGAGGAGAGGAGTGCAGGCATTCCTGAAATCCCAAGAGGTTGGGCAAATGCCCCCCAGTTCCCGCCTGGCCTGGAAGGGATCCTAGCCAGAGGTTTCTGCACCCTTAAACCATAGGGCACCATAGATATACACAGGCTTGGTGGAAAACCCAGAAAGTGTGGTGATCTTGGAATTTCACACACGGTTCTATCCCCTCCAGCGCTTCCTCTGCATTTGAGCAGCAGAGGTAAAATGTGAGTGTGTTGATAAAAAACAAAATGACACTGTCAAGAAGCTTCTAACTAACAGTGTCTGGGCAGGAACCCATCAGACCTCTGCCTGCCGTGGAAACTCACTGTAACAGAGGAGGGCTTCATGCCTCAGGAAGGCAGGGTCTGAAGGGACTGGGGCTGCTCTGTAGAGCCTCTGAGTAGTTGCTTTAAAACTTGTTGCCCCTTCTGTGATGTCTATAGGTCTCTTTCTCTGAAGGACAAGGTGGCTCACCATCCTGGCTAGTGACATTTCACCAGTAGTGATACTGTGACCCTCATGCTGAAGTTAAAGAACAGTGGCCATTATCCCATCTGCTCTTCTTATGAGGGCATTTCTAGAAACCTGTGCAGAGGGTCTGAATACTTCTGCTTGATTGGAGCCTGTCACTTCCTTGAGTAAGGTTTCAGCATACTCCCGAGTTCTGTGGGGTTTCTATCCCATGCACTGAAAAACTTAGCAGGGTATCCCAAAAGGAAACCTCTTAAGATGGCAGCTCTTTTCCTCTTGCCTTGCAAACTGGTACCTCCACCAGAGTCGTCTTGGTGTCTGCAATCTGGTCATAGGACTTGATCATCATCCTCCTGACTTAAAAAAGCAGCTAACACCCCTGTTTCTATGAATACAAAGGTCCAGATAATAAGTGTGTTTGCTGCTGTGATGTTATGCTGTGTGGAGGTTGTCATTTGCTGAATATATTCCTGAGTGCGGGCAGGGAAAGGGGATCTGCACAAGAAATTGTACCAAGTGCCAGGGTGGGTCCCTGTAGCAAGTGCTTAGCATGAACATGCAACCTGGGGCTTAGGCAGCTGTTTCTGTAAGAAAGGGTTAAGAACTGACACAAGGTCTGCAACAAGAGGGAACCATGCTGCCACAGTGCCCCCAGAGTTGGTGCTAATGAATGATAAACAAAGCCACTTTTATAGGAAGTGCTGGGCTTGCTATTTTCTGGGAAAACACGATGATAACAGGAACAAAGTGGGATTTGATTTCCCTCTGCCTCCTCTCATTTGAAGGGAATCTTTGGCACCATGTAAGCATATTCAGTGCTTTTAAATCTTGGCATGGGGCCCCTGGATCCTCAAGTCTCAGGGACTCAGCAAGCAGAGACAGGGGCAATGAGGATTGTCCTATGTTGTGTGGGGCCTCCTGTCACAGGGACAGATGCTAGGTACTGCACTCCTCCATCCCTGGTTGGCTCTTGTGTGATTTTGTTGATGAATCCCTCTAAAGTGTCCAGAGGTCTGTGCTGCTCCTTGGAACTTGATCCTGGGGACGATCCATACCTCTTTCTGTCCCTCCAGCCAGACTGGCGGAACTTCCACATCATGCTCTGGATTTTAGCTCTAAGCTTGAAGCCAGCCACTCCTTCTCTTCTGTTTGTCTGTCTGTCCATTCGTTCATCCATGCATGCATGCATGCATGCATCCATCCATTCATGTATCCATAATATACATTACCAGAACCTCCTCTATGTCCCACCAGTGAAAGGTGGGGACTGGTCTTCCCCATCGGCAGCAGGCCAGTGGTTGGTGTTCTCCAAGCCTGTTGTACCCACCTGAAGCCCACTGTCCTTCTTGGACTTAATCAAAAATGTCACCTCTCCTATGTTGTTATTTAAATGTGAATTCTGTCTAGGCTCCTGTGTTTATGCACACTTGATCCCCATCTGTTTTCAGTGTTCTGGAAGGTTATGGAAGTTCTAGAAGGTAGCATCTCACTGGAGGAAGTGGATCACTAGGGGAGGGCCTTAAGGTTTTATAGCTCTTCCATGTTTCCTGCCCACACTTGGCTTTCTGAGTATAGACGCATTGGCTGTCTCATTCTCCTGCTTCCATGCATACTCTACCATGGTGGGCTGTGTTCCCTTAAACGTCAGCGAAAATAAACTGCTCCTCCCTTAAGAGCAATAAGCAAAGTGACTGATGAACTCTATAGGCTACCTCTAGCAGAAGGGAATCTTCCAGGGATCTCCCTAGAAGCCACAGACTACACCTTTGTTCAGACCTCATTCTCTGACAAATACTTGCCTCTTGAAGGCAGGACCATGCTGGTGTTACTACCATATACTGGTTTCCTTCTTCCAGTGTCTTAGATGGAAAATAAATGCAGATGAATGTGAGTGAAGCTAAGTTACCACCTGGAAGACAGTGAAGGGAAGGGATGGTTTAAGCAGCATGTGTATTTGTTTTTCCACACAGCTGCCACTGAAAATTTGAAGGATGGACTTGGAAGACCGTACAGTTAGTTAATAGCGCACCAAACATTTATTTTTAAATATTGATTGTGGAGGTAGTGTGGGAATAAGGAGACTATAGCTGTTCCAAGCATATACAGAAAAATCCCAGAAGACACAGGCATTCACCCTGTGCTTTATTCAAATATCACATCAGGGCTGGGTTTTTCTATACTGAGAATTTTAATAAGAGCTGAAAAATAAAACACAAAAATTGGTATGCCATCATGGCCCCCAGTGAACAAAGCACAGTGTTTAAGATTTTGTCTTGGTTTTTGCCATACTAGCTAGCATTAAAAGTAAGCCCTTTTAATTTATCCTGTTTTGGTATCCATGGTAATTTTCTTATAACTTGAGGTTTGACTTCTTTGGTATTTTGGTTAAGCCCTCAGTAAATGTCTTTTCCAGCATGGCTTCTGCTTCATGCAGTGCCCACTCTATGTAGGTTTGCTGTAATAGAAACTGTCATCCTGGCACTGGTCTCTGTATTTTCTGTCCTGTCTCCACTGTCTTCCTTGCATGCTTCTTCCTCACCCCAAGTTTGCTCTCTCCTCCGCTGAGTCTGGTCCACTGCTGAAGTCTTACCCCATGCTTATTTCTTCTGTTCTGCCTATAATTTCTAGAGTTTCCACAAGATTATCCTTAGGGACTCAGGTTCATTGGTGAAATGTAAATTTCTCTATTTTCTGTTTCTTTGTAGTCTGTATATTTTAACTCCAATTTTTTAACCGGCTATGTCTTTTGTTGGTGGTGGAGTTTTGTTTCATTTTGTTTGGGAAGGTGGTGATTTTAGGTTTTTTTGTTTGTTTGTTTTTGTTTATTTTTCCCACTTATCATGTTTCCTGACAATATTAATTAGAAGTTTAAGATGATATCAAAATTAAAGTGTGATGGAATGGGAGGCAGGTTTGGGATATCCTTCAGAGATCTGGTTTTAAAGTGGGGTTGCATGAAAGTTGTCCAGTCTTATCTGTGGTACCCTGGGGCATAGGGCATTGGAAGCTTTTGTTATTGGTCAGGGTCATGCTTCCTGAGTGTTTCCCATACACAGGTTTTTGTTACCACCCAGAAGAAACTGCCCAAGCTCTTTTTAGCTCCCAGGAGCTACTTGTTCCTGGGTATGTGGTGCCAACTCCTGAGGCTTTGGACTGAAGTATATCTGACTTGTTCCAAGTCTTTGTCTATGACTTTGGCCTTCTTGATCCCAGATGCCTTGCTAATTCTGAACCGGTGTCTTCATCTCCCAGGAATAGTATGTAGCAGATCAGGTCTGTGCTCCATGGTCCCTGGACATGCAGCCCCAGAGTCACTCATATGGGAGAGTAGGGAACGAAAGGAAAGGCAAGCATGCCAGATGATATCTCTGCAGTGCCTTCACTCAAGGGAAGAGAGCATCTCTGTGGAAGAAGGCTCATGCTGGTTTCCAGGATGAGCCGTACATATGTCTATCCCTCATCCATCAGCAGCCAGCTCGGGATAGACAGTGTACATGGAGACTGAATTAGCTGCTTTCTCTTTTGGAAACAGTGATGGATGACAGTCTACACACAGTAGCACAAAGCCACCAATGCCAGCCTCCTGTATTACTGCTGTTGTGGTTCACTGTGGCCACAAGCAACAGAAAAGCTTCAAAACTCATTATGAACATGGATAGGGCTGAGATTGTGACATCATGGATCACATAATCAGGGTCTCTCTGCTTTCGGTTTCTTGCTTCAGAACCACGAGGCTGCCCAGAGATTACCAGTCACACTGTGGGGATGTCAGAGAGTCCCATCGGACCCAAACCCACCATGCTTCGGGCTGATATGCCTGCAACACCCAACTTTCAGCAGATGTTTGCATCTTCCTGCACAGTTTCAAGCAATGGACCTGGCCAGAGGAGAGAGAGGTAGGAAGAAGGGATTTTGCCTTGTTAGAAGTTCCCCTCGGAGGCCAGAGCAATGAGCTGAGAGTAGAAAGAAAAGACTAGGTAGAGCGGGGCCCAACAGTGGACTCCACTCGGACATGGTAGAAAAGATCCCGTGCCCAGTACTGTGGGCCAGTGGTGCCAAACACCACAACTCATAGAACTTGCTCTTGTCACTGGCACTGGAAAATACACAAACACATAGGAAAATGTTGCAAAAAAAGTATTGCAAAAATGGAAAGGAAGAAAGGGACTGTGGTAAACCAAACTGTCCTCTTTTGTTTTAAAAAGATGCAGGCCTTGAGAAATTCATTAAGGTCAGCTGCCACTCAGGCCCAAAGTAGAACGTAAACTCTGCCATGTCTCTTGTACAGGTTTTCCATTTCCCTTCCCATTAAAATAAAGGGGGTCAACCTGGCAATGGTAGCACATGCCATTAATCCCAGCATTTAGGAGGTAGACGCAGATCAATCTCTGTAAATTCAAGGCTAGCCTGGTCTACAGAGTGAGTTACAGAGAAACCCTGTCTCAAAAAAACCAACAGAAAGAAAGAAGGGAAGGCAGGGGGAGGGAAGAAGGAAAGAAAGAAAGAATAAATTTTGAAAAATTAAAACTTAGAAGAGCTTGGCATCACATGTAGAAGCTGTACCTAGTATGTACCAATTTAAATGTGTTTATGACAAGAGCTGTATTTTCAGTGGCTTTTCTTGGTTCCTGAATGTGGTAATTCCTAGTCAAGCTGTCCCCCTATCTGCAGGAGATATGACCTTAGAACTGGTTGATGCCTGAGATCCTAGACAGGACCAAACCCTGCACATAATATGTTTTCTCAAGTATTCATACCTATGATAATTTTGACCTTTTCTCAAAGGAAATACATTGTAGATTCCCGTTGGCTTAGTCAATAAGCCAGCATCCTCATTCTTGCTCTTTGGAGCTATTTTTATTTTTGATGTTTTTATATTTATTTATTTTTATTGGATTACTGTTTTGTCTGCATGTATGTCTGCTTACCATACATATTCCTGGTCCCTGTAGAGGTCAGAAGAGAGCATCAGATCCTCCCTCCTGAACAGGAGTTACAGGTGGTTGTGAGCCACTGTGTGGGTACTGAGAATCAAACCCTGATCCTCTGTAAGAGCAGCCAGTGATTAACCACTGAACCATTTCGCCATCCCCTTTGGGGCTATTTTTAATTGACCTGAGAGTTACTTGAACATGAACACAGTCATACAACACCGGCCAGTCATCTAACTACTAAGAGTGGGTGGCGTATATCATATGGATACGCTCAATCAGGGACAATTCACAACGTGGACATGATGGAGTAGGACAGCATATGAATCGTCATTCTACTCAGAATGACGTTTAAGACTTAGCAGTTGTTTATTTCTAGAATTTTCAATTTAACATTTTTTTTTAGACCTCTGTCTCTGAAAAACTTATAAGGGACAGGGTATACTGCATCTTGTCTGCTGTTCAACCAGCTTTAGTGCCTACATCCCCAGCCCTGTCTTCTCTATGTCTTACAAGGGTTACTGATTTCGAGGTAACCTTATGCCCCTTACATTCCCTTATGGATGTTTTTGTCTTTTAAACAGCCTGCCTTCTGCAGAACGCCAGTGGGTGGAGAGCAGCCCCAAGTCCACCCTAACTCTACTGGGGAATAGCCATCCTTCTGAAAGTCCTCGAGGCACCCATGAGTTCTGCATCACTGGCAAGGACTCTCCAGGGCTGCCCTGCTTCCAATCCTCAGAGCTCCAGGCCTCTTTTCACAGCCATGAGCTGTCCATGTCAGAGCCTCAGGATGCTCTGCCCCCTGCAGGCAGCCAAGCCTTCTTAGGCTACAACACTGCCTCCGTATCAAGTGGCCTTCCACCTGGCGAGGACCCAGGTGCCCTGCTGGTCAATTCCCATGGGACATCACCAGCCCCTGGAGCCCCGCTGACAACAGCAGGGGCTACTGACAATGGCTTCCTGTCCCACAACTTTCTCACGGTGTCACCTGGACCCAGCAGCCACCACAGTCCAGGCCTGCAGAACCAGGGGTTAAGCCTGCCTGGGCAGCCACCCCTCCCTGAGAAGAAGAGAGCCTCAGAGGGTGACCGTTCTTTGGGTTCAGTCTCACCCTCCTCCAGTGGCTTCTCCAGCCCCCACAGCGGGAGCACCATGAGTATCCCCTTCCCAAATGTCCTTCCAGACTTCTGCAAGCCTTCAGAAGTGGCCACACCTTTGCCAGGTATGTCTCCACCTCTGCCTATTCCCTTAGGGAAGGAAGGCTCTCTGGTGCTTTCCATTTGAGCAGCCTATCTCCAGGTTAAGTCATGTGCACTGCAGGAGCCATTCAGACCCCCTGATGGCTATTTGTGGCACTGTTGTTCTAAAGCCAGGTGTACAGGGTGCTTCCTCCTTAGTCCACTGTAGACTGATCCCAGCAGTAGAAAGTGCAGATGCTGCAATACTTCTGCCTTAACTGTGACTTGAAAATAAAGATCCTTGAAAGTTGGTTTCTTTTTCCCAATTAGATAATTAATCCAGAATTGAGTTATAAACCGTTTCAAGTGTTTGACACCAGCTTTGCTTCTGTGCTGTCCTTTCTGGGATTACAAACATCTGTGTTTTGCATAGCAGCACAAGGCACTGACTCACCCTACTATTTGCTCCTTTGAGCTGTGTTTCCTTCCCCCCTCTTAGGATCCTCATGTCTGTCCCTCAAACCTAGGCATGGATTTGGACTTGCAACATCATCATCATAAATGAGGCAGCAGTAAAAATATTCTGTATTAAAATTTTGCTTCACAGACAGCCCAAATGATAAACTCGTGATTGTGAAGTTTGTTCAAGACACTTCCAAGTTCTGGTACAAGGCAGATATCTCCAGAGAACAAGGTAGGTGGGGACAACAGTCCTCTTACAGTGTCAGTCATATTTGGTCTCTGGGTCCTTCCATGAGGAACTCCTGTGGCACATATCAAATAAGAGCAAAACACACCTTTATTATAGGCCTCTGGGGAAAATTTTACAACCTTCATCGTTTTGTGGGAAAAACTCAGTACCAGTGAGGGTTTGGGTGAGAAGTGGGTTCAAGCCACATGTATCCCAGTGTGCAGCATGTGAATACTGGCTGTTTCACCAAGCCAGCAGCTCATCAGTCATGCCAGCCTAGCACTAATCCAAGGAAGAGAAACTCTGCTCAGGTCTCTACTAAGGACTCCTCAGAGCACAACACAAACAGGGTCACAGAGGAGAGAGGTGCACTGGGGGACGGTCAGCTTGGTGGCTACGGGCCATGAATGGGAACAGATTGTTTGCAACTGTGGCTGTAACCAGCACCTGTAGCCTGCATGTACCTGCCCACATTGCCTGCTTGGTCATCATGGTGCACAGGGAGCTCACGGCCTTCCATCTCTCAGGAAGGCTGGTCTGCTCCCTGAGATTCTGCCATTAGGTTTTAGAGCTAATGGAAGTCTCGAAAGTCTAGTTAATTCCTGTGAGCTCAAGGAAGCCATTGTCATTTGAAATGGAAAAGAAGTGGGGAAAACAACCATGGCTTGGAAAGGCTCTCATTTCCCTCAGGCAGCCTTTCTAAAACTTGCTGCTTAGCAAGTCCAAGGGCCAGGCCGAGCAGCCCTGTGTTGCCAGTGTTCCCATGCTCTCCTGTCCCTGCTTACCAGGGAGGTGAAAAGACAGCATTTTCCTTACCCTATGTTTATCTGCCAAGCAGGGCCCACACCGGGCCTGGTTGTAGAAGCAGCTGGGAGAAGGGACTGCTTTAGTCCATTTTCTGAGGCTGTCACAGAGCCCCTGAGATTTGGATGACTTAGAGTCCAAGCGTATCAGCATCAGTTTCACACTGGTGAAAAGAGAGGAGCAAGTACACATGTGCAGAAGAGAGAGGACGTCAGTGGCCATCTTGCTTTGTCATAGTCCACCTTCAAGCAGCTGAGCCATCCTGGGACCAGCACCCAACCCAAGAGAACTGTTGTATTTAGCATCAGGGCTCAGATGTCAGTGTGATTTTCAGAAATGGGGCATGTCAAAGCACATCAGGAGCCATCTTGGGGTCTGGGTAGGCAGTGGCTTTTGTCCCCTGAATTCATCCATGCCTTTCCCTCCTCTAGCCATTGCCATGTTGAAGGACAAAGCTCCTGGGTCATTCATCGTGAGGGACAGTCACTCCTTCCGAGGGGCCTATGGCCTGGCCATGAAGGTGGCCACACCTCCTCCTTCTGTCTTGCACCTGAACAAAAAAGGTAAGGTTCCCTGGAGTAGCTGGGGATTGTTTGTGGTTTGTTTTGAGGTGAATACCGTGACAGATACTGGCAGCTGCTTGCACTGGTTCTCTTTAGTGTTTGCTTTATAAGGTTATTTTCTTCAGTAGTTATCTTGTTTAAGAACGTACTTATTTGTACATCTTATCTTCTTTTGTTTTAAGCAAGTAATCTTTTTTTACAATACAGTAGAGCCAAGAACCCAGGAGAGCACCCTGTTTTCTGTATCAGCCTTTCCTCCTTTGGGTGACCACATGTAAAACATTACTGCTTGGTTTATCACTGACAGGCAAACAGTCATCTAAAAGAGATCCTTCTGTTTATTTTTAACTTACAGTTTGAAAACTAATATAGTATATATTCTTACGTGTCTTGTTTTGAGTCAAAATTCTGAGTCACTGAATTCTAAAATTATAGCTCTTACTCTCTTTCATAGTTCTCTGTTTTTTAATTGTTATTTTTAAAACTTTCATCTATCTATCTATCTATCTATCTATCTATCTATCTATCTATCTATCTATCTACTTGCCTACTATGTATGCAGTGTTGTGCCAGTATGTATGCCTATATGCCAGAAGAGAGCACCAGATCTCATTGTAGATGGTTGTGAGCCTCCATGTGGGTGCTAGGAATTGAACTCAGGACCTCTGGAAGAGCAGCCTGTGCTCTTAACCTCT